TAGGCATTTGAGTTGTAAAATTTGGCTGGAATATATCGGGCAGAGGTGATCCTCTATTAGATCCATTGGAAACATTATTGATGCCATCGTTTTTTGCATTATAATTACCCAAAGTGTTGTAAGTTAGACATTGTTGCAAGTAATTTCTGCTGCGCAAGAAACTCCCCATAGCACCGTAATTCATAGGTTGAGAAGAAAAGGCAGGATTCACCATTATTCCGGAGGAACGGTACAAGGCACAGTCCCTAAAGGAAACATCCTATTTGCATTCATCCCAGAGGCTTGAGAACCATGGATACCACTCAAAGCATCATTAGAAGCTTGATTGCTAGAATGATTGTTGATATTGGAAAATAGATTCTCAGGGTGGCTTCAGAAGATTTCTTCTTGCTTCAAATTAGATGAATTCTCATTCACCGACAAGTCAGCCATTACACCAACATCATTACTTTGATTCTCTGGCGGAGCTTCGGAAGTAGTTCCAAAGATCAATTACTTCAGAATTTTTATTTGCAGCCATATTATTATCTTCGACAACTGATTTGTCATTTATAGTTATCCCAGAGAAGAGATCATCCGCATTTTCTCTACCCTCATCAGTGTGAAAAGATACATCTGCAAAAGGATCATCATTTTCCCGTTCCCTGGTGCTGAGACCAGCATCCAGGCTATCTCCAAATAAGTCATCAAAAAGTGGCTTTGCTGTTGGATTAGCAGTTTTTTGACCGAGTTGGTTTTTTGTAGAGTTATATAGTCCATTATAATCATCCTGATCACAGTGTCTATCAGGTCAGGCATTTGAACTGGTGTCATCTCTGCCTTCAAAGACTTTTCTGAATGACTTGCCAAACCACCGCTCTGTTTCCCATTCAAAAGGTTCAACACCTGTTTACCAAGACCATATATACATTAACCATTCATGATTCAACTGTAGTATGTACTTAATTAACTCGAAAAAAGCATCCCTACCGTCTCTCTAAATCAGCATCTAGTGTACATAAAAATACTCAGTCATCATATAATATTAAGGACCATAACATCAAAGAAATAAAGATAAAACACAATTATCATACAAGATCGCAAAATATAGTAGTTGATGCAGAAGAAGAACCGAAACATAATGTGACAGCTGTCAAGAACCAACCGCTAGTATGTCTGAATTTATAAATTTGAACAAAAAGTAAAGAGAAAGTTGTCCACATATAATAAAATCTAAAGGGCATATTTCCGTTTCTTGAAAGACGTTTAAAGGAAAAAATGAGGTAGCATCCAAAACTTAATGTAGTAAGACAGCAAATGTTTCCTGCAGAATATTATTTTAGAAGGAATTAGTACCCTACATCAACTTAGGCATGGATTAATATGCCATCGGTTAAATGCAAGACCTTAATGAAGTCAAAAAAAGAGGGAAAATAAAATTATTTTTCTAACACGTTATCATGAAACCAAAATACAAATTTTAAAAGAAAATTTCCTTTATCAGGGAACCTCATTGCAAGACATTAATGAACTCGAGCATGAGTTAAATGAACTTTCCTTTATTCCAATGACATCAATTTACTGAATTAAAGCTTAATATAGATGCCTTGGAAAACAACAGGGGGGGAAAAGCATGCACCAAAAACAGTGTTCCATATCAGATCTTACAATGAAACAAAGACGTATATTATCTTGCTGTTTAAATGTAAAGGAAAGGGTTGGACATTTACCTTGTTAGCCTTTTCTCTTAGAGAAGTCTGGGGAGACTCGGAACATCTTGAAACAACATCCATGTTCTCGGTAAAATAACAAGCCACAACTAGAAAATGCTCATCTTCCTTTTTCCTCAAAATGGACTCAAGCACGCACATAGCTTTCAAGCGAACCTGATCATCAGTAATTCTGATTAAGGTTAAAAGATAACCAAAAAAACAAATACTCCACTATACTTTTGTTCTTTTTGGAAAAAATCAATATAAAAATATCAGCAATATGCAACATGATCATGTAATCAGAAGAGTGTGTTGTGCGCTAGACGTGTGGGTAGATAGCCTAGGTTTGAGCCTTTCATTCTCAGTGGGCTTGTCATCTCATGATCAATACATAGGAGAAAAGAGTTACCTGCCATATTGGTGATAGAAGCTTAGATTCAAGCGCATGACTTAAAGCTGATTCGTCAAGATTTGCAGCCTCCACAAGGAAAGCCTGAATGGCATCTCGAGTAGGCTGTAGACGAACACCACCAGATGTCACTATGGTTTCCAACAATCTCTCTTCACGAGTTTTAGTCTCTGAATGATTTGAGCTAGATTCCCCATTTTTTGTTTCTGCCTTGAATTCACTTACGTCCTGCCCCCTAGGCCCACTAGCAGTATTCTTGGAAACCCCTTGATTATCATTGGGCAATACAACTGGTTCATACCTATCAGAATTGTCAATTTCTATAGTCAAGGATCTTCGAAGCGGAGGACCCTTGTAATTTTCGTTATCATTCTTTCTAAACGAACGACTCTGAGTTAAATTACTAATTCCCTGCTTGATAGTTGCATATCCAATACCAACAACCTCACCGAGAAATGATTTCTTATCATCTGATGGCATTTCGAAGTTTGTGTTCCCAAATCCTTGAATTCGTTTGTTAAGGTCATCTGCAGGCGAAGGCTTACTGGTATTATTTTCCTCGGCAAATACAGCAGAAATAGCCTCATGTGCTGTGACCCGTACAGCCTTATTGAGTGCATCCCCCTTCAAAGGATCCGGCTCCCCTTTGTAATGAAATAACTGGCGTATGGCCACCGAGTTCCTCTGCATCTCTCTCCTAAACTCCGCACCACACTTTCCCACGACATATTTTATCAGCCTCAAAGTCTGCTTATCAACATTTTCTATAATTTACCATCTAATGATACAACTCACCCGCACGTAAACATGCGGTAACTCAGAACATTAACATAGCAGTATATATATATATGTTGATACTGGTACTTAACTACTAGACGAAATTGAGCTAGTTTGTTCACTTTTTACTTATTTTTCCAGCATCAGCCAAAACAATTATACACACACACACACACACAAATTATGAATTACTAGATTTAAGCAAAACAAAACAAATTACGAAGCGAATTGAATGGCATTACCTTTTGTTTGACGATGGGGCTTTTATGATCGAGTCGTTTCAAGACAAACTCGGAGACCTCTTTCACGATACTAACGTGCGAAGATCTCAAGAGCTCGCTGATCTCATCTAACTTATAAACGGGCGTCACTTTGTCTTCATCCGAGGTTGCCGCTTCAATCATCTGTGATCTCCTGTACGATTCCACCGCTCGCTTGCTGGAATCCATTTCTAACAATTGATATGAAGAAAAAAAGTTAAATTTAATCCGACTGAATTTGAAGAGTTCAAGATTGATCTGTTTGGTTTGCTTGAAAACAAATGACAATTCACAATTGTTGATGAACCTCGATTGATTTTGGGATTTTAAGGGCGGAATTTCGAGTGCGATCCAATTACGGTTTCGTCGTTTTTCTTAATTTGATTTCTTAGCTTTTAAGAAATAAACAAAAGAGGTGAAATTCATAATCTGAAAACTTGGAAACGTAAACAGAGAAACAGAGATAGCAAAGAACAAACAGACATTTTCTTAACCGACTCGAAATTGTTTTCTTAACGATTAAAAAACTCTTTTCTGTTAGTTTAATTTCAGAAAAATTCTCTAAACTTTGAAAATATTCTATATTGGTTCTTTAATTTCAAAACTTTCTGATTAAGTTTTTTTTTATCAATATGAGATAAGTACAAGTCAAATATGTGTTTAAATATAACTCTCAACTATTTGATATTGACCGTTTATGCCCATAATATTCATGATGCTTGAATCTAAGATTTCAAGAAATAACAATAATTCTTTTATAATTGAAATCTCTTAATTCGTGTTTTGATTAAGTTTCTAAATAAAATAATTTCATCAATTTTTGTTACTAGAGAGTTAAAGTATGTTAAAAATTATTAAATTATATAAAATTATTAAAGTTAATTTAATTTTTTGTATTAGAATCTTAAAATTAAACAATATAACTCACACTAAAAATGAAAATTCATTTTTCTAATTACTGTCTCCTTTTTTTTTATTGGTCATGGCCCATTTAAGAAAAAAAAATTATTGTATCACGACATATTAATCTTAATGTTAGTTTTCGGTTGTTAGTATTTTTTAATTTTTATATGACATTTTATTTTATTTTTTTTTAATTTTTAATAATTTTATCTTTATGACATATTTTTATTTATTTTGATGACATTTTTTTGTCTTTTAATATTTTTTAGTCATTTGACCTTTATTCTCATTTGTTTTTTTCTTCTTATGATTAGATTTGACATCATTGTAATTGATTAAAATGATTTTTTTATTATCATATTGATCTTCGTTGCTTTGGACTCTCGCGATTTACGTTCGTAGATAATTTTATCACGTTATTAGACTCTTATTTGTGGTTTGTCAATGATTTTTTAATAGTTTGATTCTCTTTTGTGTTTCGTTTGCTGATGCGATCATATTTGTTCGTATATATCTTTTGTTAAGTTTTTTGGTTAAATTTTTAAAAAATTTCCTAATATGATGTTATGTGATTTTAAATGATTAATTTATTGTGTAAATAAATATAATAAAACAACCTAATTATATATTTTATTTACAATTATAATTATAAACTTTCATCGTAATTCTAGATATTTTTTACATGTAATAAATTTAATAATTTCTATAAAATTCACAATGAAAGTATAATTTACATGAAAATTAAATACAGTTTTAATTTTAAAAGATATATAATTTGTTTAAAACACTATTTTATTAAATAGATAAAATTGTTATAGGTTAAGTGCATGAAATAAACATAATTAGTAATTAAAGTTAATTACTTTTATTAGTAGAGATTATTATCCATAAATCACTGATAAATTTGAAGTATTTTCATAATAAAATACAATTAAATTAAAGAATATTAAATACTCTTCAGGGAAACAAGTAACTCTTTACGAAACTGGCAAAATTGAATCCCCAAACGAAGAATTTGAGGGAAAAGAGAAAATCGAGATGAAGGAGCCGCTGCGTAAAACGAAAGTGGTGATAAGGCATCTGCCGCCGTCAGTTACCCAATCGTTTTTCTTTTCTAAAATCGGCGAACGTTTCTCTGATCGCTACAATTGGTTCTTCTTCCGTCTCGGCAAGTCCAGGTTAGCGTTTCTAACATTTAGTTCCCCCAATATGTAGTACCCCTTTACTTTGTTTTATTTTGTTTGTTTTCGGATTTTTTTGCATTATGTTTTTGTAATTTAGTTCGTAGGGCATCAAATGGAGCAGAGTTTGTGATTGCACTGTTGGATATCTTATTTATGACGTTGAACGGGGTTTAAAAATTCGCGTTCTTTAGCACCTGGGGTAAAAGGTTAGGTTGGAATAATTGTAAGTGAAATTTGAAACTAATTTGAGAGCCAAGTTTTTTTAATGTATTTGTTTTGCTTAGGAGTATGGCTCTCTTAATGGTGATTTACTTCTTTGCTTCATGGAGACCTGCATAAAATTAACAAGAGATTATCATAATTTGCAAACTGTAAATGCTAGTCCTTTTAGAAGGCTTGGGGAAGAACATGAGATTTAACTAAGATATGATAGAAAGATATAGAAAATGAAGACAGTTTCAAAAGTTTGATTGATAGCTTCTTTTGAACATGATTTTTTTTTCCCTTATACTCCATTTTTTATCCTCGTGGATCTTTTTCTTTTGTTCTCACTTTGCAGCCATAAACAACAGACTTACTCTCGAGCCTACATAAACTTCAAGAGACCTGAAGATGTCTTTGAGTTTGCTGAATTCTTTGATGGACATGTATTTGTTAATGAGAAGGGTACGTTATGCTTAAATGTGTTATTCTTTATGACGCTTATAAACTACTGAGTACTGACACATTTTTCTTGTTTTAGGGGACAGTTTATATGATTCTTTCTAAATATATGAAATGCAATTGTTGTTTGCATTTGTTCAATTTGATTGCAATATGTTAATTTAATTGTCTGAGTTTAATTTACCTGTGGGTCCTTCTATTCTAATTTATCATTTTGATTCCTTTATTTCAGGTACTCAATTTAAGGCCATTGTTGAATATGCGCCTTCTCAGCGTGTACCAAATCCTAGCAATAAAAAGGATGGTCGTGAAGGGACCATTTTCAAAGGTGTATTTTTTTAAGTAGGAGTTTATTGTTCGTCATATTATTTAATGGAAGCTTTTTGAACTAACATCAAAGTGTCAGTTATAACTTGTTATCTTGCACTGAATCTTCTTTTTCTTTAATTAACTAGATCCCGATTATCTGGAATTTCTCAAATTGATTTCAAAACCTGTTGAGAATCTTCCTAGTGCTGAGATTCAGTTGGAGAGAAAAGAAGCTGAACTATCTGGTCAGTTATGATAGAAAGAATGCAAAATTGTGAACTCTATTTATGAGTTTTTGCCACTCTAATATGAATGTGATTGATCCCACTTTATTCTTTTTCAGGTGCTCCAAAGGAAACTCCTGTTGTTACACCACTAATGGAATTTGTGCGTCAGAAGCGTGCTGCCAAAAGTGGAACTCAGGTACTTTACCAGTTACCTTGGAAAAGATCACGTTTATATCTTGTTCTTTCCCCTGTTTATATGACATTAAGTCATTGTGCTTTCAATTTTTCATATGCTTATTTTTTTAACTCATGGAGCTTTCACCTATGTGATGCAACTTTATTAAAATATGATGAGCATATTGTTGGCAGTATTTGCATGGTTTCCTCTTAAATTTCCACTTGAATTATTATAATCCACTTTGACCAGTATTGTCCATGAGATATCTGTCACACATGCTGCAGTCAAATATGTTAAGTAATACTTACACGGGTCACTATTGCCTTGGGATCCTTATGTTAAAAATTGTGGCCCGGAAAAGGAGAAAGAAATGAAAATCAATTAATAAGCAGTCCTGTGATCACATTATAGTTTGTTTTGATGACAGGGGTCAATAACTATAAGAAAGGTTGGCAGAAAAATTGCTGCTGCATCTGCAGGCAAGTCTGGATCCAGTAGCAAGAGTTTTGACAAAAAAAAGGTATCTAAGTCAATATCTTTCTCATGTAGTTTATTGCTGGATATTTGAGCATATATTACTTTGCATGTGGATGTAAACCTTTCAGTACTTCCGAAAAATAGGATCTTTACATTGTGAACTTCTCTTATAAAGTTGCCCTACCAGTGAATCAGAGGCCTTTTATTTGTACAAGAGCATAGCTTCTACATATCTTGATCGTCTGCTTTATAACTGTGACTCTGTCCTTAGTTGATATTGGTTCTTGCTTTCTTTTTGCATTCAAAGATTGCAAGCACTCGCCTTATTGGGACACTTGTGGTCTAATAAGATGTCAAAGTAGACTGGCTTCTGAAATTTGAAGCACCTTGAAATTTCTTTGGAAATACCTGTAGTGTGCTATCTTTAGGTGAATGCCTGTAGGATGCTTTTAATATTTTACAAATCATTGGATCAAATTTGCATGAATTTTTTTGTTCTTAAATATTACATTAATTGCCTCTTTCATATGAAGCAATTCTCAATGATCCTTCCCAATAATCTTGTCTTACTTTGTGTGCATGTCCGATCTTTGAAGATGTATAGTTTGTTATTTTATCATTTGATGAAACTTGTTTGATTGGCAGTATATTCTAAAAGACATTGCAAAAGGTGCGAAAATGTCCAATTTTTTTGTAGCATCCAAGCAAGAGGATCAATCAATGACTTCTGTCGCAAAAGAAATAAGAGAGAATGGAACTGGTGAGGGTTTGAACAGTCTTAGCAGAGGTTATGATCCACATAGAGCTGTGTCAGCATTTATACCAACTTGTTAGTATTATCTTTGTGAATATTTGTAAGACACAGTTCTAATGAAAAAGCCAAGTTATTTATTGTTTTTCACACAGAGAAATGACACATGCTGTTCTAGCGTGTGTTACTGGATTAAATTAATATCAATCTCTTGAGTGTTGAAAGTCGTCTGCAAACATGCATCTCTTGTTTTGTCAATAGTCATCTCATTGAATGCTTAACCCGAAAGTTTAGCATGTCCTCATGAATGTGTTTTATTGTGAAGCTATTTGAATATGTTTCTGAAAAAGATTTTTTGTATTCTTTATCTATCATGCCAATGCCACCTGCTATTCTGCATTTAATTTAGCTGTGATGACCTTCTGTTATTACTTGGAGATCAGAGACATTATATACCATTTTATAGATGTAGCTGACTCATGTAATACTGATATGCTGCTGCTTCAAGTTTCTTATAGTGCCATAAAAAAGGAATACATTGAAACTTTGTTTAATGGTGCCCCCATGATGAAGAGCTTTAGGTCTACCTGAGTTCATACTTTGGAATACAACTCATCTCTATATTTGATACTTGACTTCTGGGAGAAGGTGTGCATAATGCTGACCTTTTGTTTTCTTATAATTATATTGCATAAGTGCAAGAGCTCCTTGTCATTCTATTTGCACTCAGTTTTTGATGTGCATAGATATGTTTAAATTGATGGTTTATTCTCTCTGGACTTGGGCTTGAATTATATTCATTTATTTGACTAGAATTTGGTGATAGATTAAGTACCTTAGAATGCAGGTTGTTTTGATTCTTGGTTTTTCTTTTATCATTGTGTTTCCTTTCCCATGCTTTTGCTTAATGATAAGTTGTGTTGCAGTCTGCAGCATTGATGGGCCTGTAAGTGGAATTACTTTTTCTGCCGACTCTGGCAAGAAAAAGATCCTTCTCGTGAAACCAAAAGACCGAGAGGCTCCTAATGTAAGATATTTGCCTTTAGTTTGTCTTGTTTCCACTCACTCATGGTGTCCATTGTTATATATTTAAGTTTTATATATATTGGGATGGGTATCGTTTTATGTTTGCTTATGGAGTTGAATTTTTAATTGGTTCTTTCAATTTTTCGTATCCAAATTATGTTCCATTTTTAAATTCTCAGGTGCCAGAGGGTGTATCTGAACAACAAGGTGCATCGTCTCCTGCAGGAAATACAAGCGGTCCAACTGCTTCAAGACAGGGTCAAAGACGCAAGGCTGGTGGAAAGTTAATAAGGAGCATACTTTTGAGAAACGAAGCAGGCCAAAATCAATCTTCAGAAGCAGTTCAGCCTCAGCAGAAAATTCAAGCTATGAGTCCAGACACAGCTAAAAAACTTTCCCAGCCAACTAATACACGAATGGGTATGAATGGTCATGTTCCTAATCAAATACCTGCATTGAAATCTGATGGTGAGACAAAAAGAGTTTCAGATGATAAGTACATAAAAAAAAGTGACTTCATGATTCAGGTTCTGGAAGTGAGAAGCATGAAAAACGTACAAGAAATAGAGATAGACCGGATCGTGGTGTATGGGCCCCTCGTGCTGATTTTTCACAATCTAATGAGGAGCGTCTGACACCGTTTGTGTTACAATCAGCACAGTCTTCTCACAGTTCCATGGAAGGTATTAATGCTTCTTAACATGTATATCCTGGTGTCTGCAAGTGTGGATGGATTTGGGATACAGTTCTTATATCAAGTTGTTCTATTTGAATTTGCAAGAAGTGGGGCAAGCTAATTTACCTCATTTTCTGCCCCTATAATCTTCCTGATACCTAAGGGGAAATGAAATGTGACAGCTAATGGAAGAAATAGATGTAATATTCCGTTGGAAAATGTTTTTAGTTTATCCATAATTGATTGGTTCAGTACCGTTGTCACACACAGAGGTACTAGAATATCATATTGACGATCTCATTCACGCAGGTTCCAATCGGCAATTTGGTCGGGGCCCAGCAGCTCATACAATTAAAGATGATGGATCTGTCATATCAAATGAGGTCAAGCCTTCCAAAAGAGGAGGTCCTACAAGCTCTGGAGCCCATGAGGTGAATGAATTCTATGATGCACCAGCTGCAAAATCTGTCATCTTTTTCTTCACCTTTGGTTTCATGTTCTTTTCTCTATCGACTTGCAGAAACAAGTTTGGGTTCAGAAATCATCCTCGGGTTATTAGAGAATCTAACTTAAACCGGTAAGCCTGTTCGGTATCAATTCCATTTAGATTCTGTAACTCTGCCCTTTTCTGGTTCGGGAAACTAAGTCACACTATTTACAGGGTTTTGAATCACAACCCTTTTGACCCAATTTCAGGGTTCTCAACTTCCTCCACGTTGCAATGACTTGCATGTGACACATCCATTTGCCTTGTGTTTGCAATAATTGTATTCTCAAGAATATGTTATTGAGTACTCCTTTACCTGGTACTATATCTTATTGGACGACTGTCAAGAGCAAGCATTGGTGAGCAACGGAATGGTTGCTTGCCTGCTCCGAAATCCGATGTGGTCTACATTGGGAAAAGTGGCGTGACTGGATCAAGCGTATTGCTGATAATCGGTGTTGCTGGAAGGGGAGACTCAACCAGATGATCGTGTGGGTTTTTCTCTTTACTTTTTTTTGTGTTTTATTGAATCGTGCCGTGCAAAATGTTTTGAAGTTTGCTTGGTTATATCGGTCTTCTTTATATATACGTAATACCTTATTGAAAAAAGGTCGTAGTATTGAAGAAAAAAAGTTGTAGATGTTGAAATTTGAAATCCGAACTTATTGGATGATGCGGTGTGAAGTGGTCATAAGTTCACTCGAATCTCTTTTTTTTTAATAACAAAATGGTTGTACTTCGGAAATTAGAAAAGGGTTGTATGGATTCAATATACTAGGGCTTGCCTTTTCACAGGAAGTGGGTTAGGTTGGAAATCAAATACTTGGATTTGAATGTTATTGTCGGATGCAAGTATGTTTAAATTTTATAAAGTTCTATATATTTGAAGGCTTCTCCAAGCACCGTATTTTTGTACTTGGGTATGGGTACGGGTACATGTAACATATTGGATATAGTGTATGGACGCTTTTAAGGAAAGGACCTTGAGGTGAAGAGTTGTACTGCTTTACAAGTCAATGGCAATAGATCTAGTAATATGAGATATATAGTTATTCAAAGAGTATGTTTTTATTTGAAAAAAATAGAGAGATGTATTTGGAAAAAAAACATATGAAGAGGAATATTATAGCAATTATTCCTAAATGTATAGAGGGAGATTATATTTTTATTTTTAAAGAAAATCTAATTTTATAAACTTGAAACTGATTTTTTTTAAAAGAAAATCTATATCTAATTTTATAAAATCAATTCTGATTAAAATCTACCGTTTTCGAATAATTTAACAATCCCTAATTATGTGTTGACCTATACATATCATGGATGCCATTAAAGTTGTCGAGTTTACTTTAACAACATTAACCTTTTGGTGTCATTTGTAAAAATAATTGCTTAATAGCTTATATTATTTCTGACAAAATAATAGTTTAAGGACCAATCTAGAAGTTTAGGTATATTTTGGTACCAATCTACTAATTAAACCTCTATGCAATCAATGAGCTGCAAATTGCAAGTGATGTCCACCTCTCGAAGCTGTTAGCATCAATTGCTGAAACAGAGCAGAGACCAGGAGAAAAAAGAAAGAGGCAAACCCCATCTTCTAGACTTCGACAACAAACAAATCTCAATCAACTATTTTTTCTAAAAAAAAGGGAAGAAAAATTGTACTTTAATCTCATCAAATGATTAGTTTTGGAAGCAATCCATCACCAGCAGCACCACCACCACCACGAGAAGATGCATGGATTAATTCTTACCAAAAGCTACTTCCTCACTGGCACTCCGTTTCTCTTTCTCATCAGGTTCAGCTCTTTTAATCTTATTTTTCATAAATTGTTTGTGAAATTTTAGTTGAAAACTTGAAGATGAGCAATAAAGGAAATTACCCTTTGTTCATTTTCCTTTTAACTGTTCAATTAATGATACTTTTGGAAAAATTTCACGGGAACTTGTTTGTTTAACTGAAATCGATCTGGGAAAATTCTGGGCGGTTTTTAATTTGATTTTGTATGAGAGTTTTGAATTTTGGGTATCAAGGTATAGTTCTGCTAATGTTGAATGCAATTGCATTATGATATTGGGAAAAAGAAACTGGAAATTTCTGGGTAGCACTCTGTTACTGTACTGTTGTGTGAGAATTACATTATGGGAATTCTTTTTGTGTGTGAAAATTTTGATCAAGTCGAGCAATTAAAGAGATTACCCTTTGTTAATTTTCCTTTTACTTGTTCAGTTAACATTATTGGCCTAAGAATCCATGGAATTTTTTTTTTTAACTTAAATCTAGCTGAGTCTCATTAGTGTTGTAGGTAAGATCTTTGTAGAGAAAGTTTTGGTCTTTCACCGTATAGGTTACGATTATATTAATTTCAAGGATTGAATTCTTCCTGCTTTGTTCCACTAGCTGTTCTTAGACTTTTGTAGACTCTTTTATGAACTGTTCTTAATCAATTTTTGCAGCATTCAACGATACCGATATCGATATCTAGAGTTAATCAGTTTGATGCCGCTAGATTGGATGTTGAGATGTCAGCTATGTTGAAAGAACAGCTGGTTAAAGTTTTCTCCTTGATGAAGGTATCTTTTTGTTATTGAATCCGTCCGTGGTCTAAAAAAAATGATGTTCTATGCAATTGTCTGAATTTGTTTCTTTCTTTTGTTGGGGTTAGCCAGGAATGTTATTTCAGTATGAACCTGAACTCGATGCTTTCCTTGAGTTTCTCATTTGGAGGTTCTCAATTTGGGTAGATAAACCTACTCCAGGAATTGCTCTTATGAATCTGAGATACCGAGATGAACGTGTCATGGAAATAAGAGGAAAAGGTAAGAAGTCTGGACTTATCTTTATTGTGCTGCGAATACCATGTTTCTTCGACTCATCATTTTTTTGTGAAAGTCTGTCTGACACATTATCGAACATTAATATGGGATCTGACTCTCCAAGAAGGCAAGAACCCTCCAAATTAGGGGAGAGCGTTCGATCGAATCAGTAAAAAAGTTTGAGTTATATTTTCGAGTCAAGTTGACTTGTTTGAGTTTCTATTTAAATTTAATTGTAAATATTTATAATATTATGGTACTATTTGATTCCAATTTAAATGACTTTCTAAAACCATATACAATACATATATATTTCTTCATATTTTTTTTGATATATGATCTACTTATACATATGAGTCGAGAGACTCGACTCAAACTTGGAAACCAATCCACTAATTACTAAAAATTTTGAGTTATATTTTGTAACTCAACTTGAACTTGAATTTTTTTTTAGTCGAGTCAAGTTTATGAAATTATGACTCGAAGTCAATTCGAGTCGAGTCGAAAAGATCAGTTTTTCGAGTTGTCAAGTTTTTCTCACCCCTACTCCAAATACATAACAAAACCTAGAAAAAAAACTAAGCATATCATGTACCCGTATCCGACACTCACACGAGTCTGAGTAACATTACATGTTAGTTTGCCAACCAAATCTGGTACTATTTTGTTGCCATTTATAACTAGTTGCGTTGTTGATTGTAGTTATTTTACTGCAAATTATCAGTGTTATTAATCAAAACTAAGTTGTCTTTTCTTTGCTCGTCTGTTGTTTTATTCTCGTGCAGCCTTATCAATGGCCTTACTTTGTGCTTCTCTTATATTTCTGCAGTAAGAACTAGTTTGGAAGGCCGGGGCTAACTGTTGCTCAGAAAATGTGGTATTGCATTGCCGCGGTTGGTGGTCAGTATATTTGGGCTCGTTTACAGTCATTCTCTGCTTTTCGCCGATGGGGTGATTCTGAGCAGGTGCAGATTCTATATCCTTGGTCCAGTTTTGTTTTCTTCTTCTTCTTCTTCATGTATTCCCCTGGGAAGAGTTTGGACACCATTTGAAGTGGATTCTGATTTTCCTTGTCTAGAGGCCATTGCACGGCGAGTTTGGGGTTTAATGCAACGTATCGAAGGGATTTATAAGGCGGCATCATTTGGCAACCTACTCATATTTCTTTACACAGGACGGTAGGTTTTAACTTTTAAGTATTGAATACCATGTTTATCTGAGTCTCACTAGTGTTACAGGAAAATATAAAAACATACAAAAGGAAAGAAGCACAAATAACAGGCATAGTGATTTAACTTACAATGTTTCGTATCAAGTTTGCGCTTATCATCTTTACGGTATGAAATTGATTGATTTGTCTGGTTTTGGGTTGATATATATTACTGTATTCTATCGAACATGCATGCTTGGTGATTAGGGAACTTTTATCTGGTTTGGGAAACCTGTTTTTCTTAGATCGCCTTCAGGCATTCACATCGACCTTTTTTCATCTCTTCATCTAATGCAGGTATAGAAACCTAATCGAAAGAGCTTTAAGAGCAAGACTTGTCTATGAAAGCCCTAATATGAACCGAGCGGTTAGCTTTGAGTACATGAATCGCCAGTTGGTGTGGAATGAGTTTTCGGTAATATTTCCTTTTTAAGCCAGCATCTAAATGTTTGGCTCGAAAACATTTACATGTCCTATTACTTTTTGAAATGTACATTGGTAGTTGTTTGTAGGATAGGCGCCACTAGAATAAAAGACTGTAGCTGAGGTGCATATTATGCAGAATTTACGGAAAACCTATTCATCAGCTGTATTGTTAAAATGGCCTTTTATCTCTTATGTTTCGACATGGCTTGGCATAGTAGTATTATTAAAAGGGCACTGATAGTTTTTCCCGGATTTTCACCTGTGATGAATGTGTTTTCATAGTTGCGTTTGCTATCATGCAGGAAATGCTTCTGCTGCTTCTCCCTCTTCTTAATTCGTTGACGGTTAAAAGTTTTCTTCAGCCGTTCTCGAAGAACAATTCTTCAGGTTCTGCAGAGGATGATTCTACTTGTCCCATTTGCCGGACAAGTCCGACACTTCCGTATCTCGCCCTCCCTTGTCAGCACAGGTAGGTTAAGTGAACTCTGTCCTATTCTCCCGACACCCTTCTAGTTTTTGTTGCCGTACTTTCTGTACTCGATGAACGATTAGCTCAAAATATGTACGAATTTGAGCCGACCAAAAAAGAAAAAGGAAGATTGAAATATATGCATTTTCATGGTGTTGGATAATTTTCAATTGTTGCTTCATTATAGGTTATAATTGATTACAATTTCATATCACAGGTATTGCTACTACTGCCTACGAACACGATGTGTGGCAGCTCCATCGTTCCGGTGTTCCCGATGCAATGAGCCTGTTGAGGCAATGCAACGGCACGGCAGCATCGTTGGGCATAAAACTAATACTCAGTAATTTAGTTGGATAAGAGCTTTGTATACTAAGGTGGTGTTTGTTTTCAGTGTGCAAGTTCTTCAAACTACTTATGTATGCGTCGCGCAGACCATGCGCAGACATTAGACTTCGCAGACTGTTTGTTTTTTAGAAGACAGAAGCTCTTCAAATCTGCGCTAGCTCTTCTTGGTGCATACTTGGTTTACCTCTTCAAACAATTATAAAATATAGTTATTTATTAAAATAATTTTAAATAATTTAAAAGGTTATTTATTTTAAATAATTTTTTTAAATAATTTATTATATATTATTATATTTAATAAAATAAATTATAAAATAAAATAATTTATTTTAAAATAATTTATTAAAATAATTTATTAAAATAATTATTTTAAATAATTATTATAAATTTATTTTAAATAAATATTATAAAATAGATTGATTTATTTTAATAATTTATTTTAAATAATTTATTAGTATGAATTGATTTATTTTAAAATATGGATTGATTTATTTTAAATAATTTATTAGTATGATTGATTTATTTTAAAATATGGATTGATTTATTTTAAATAATTTATTAGTATATTGATTTATTTTAAAATATGGATTGATTTATTTTAAATAATTTATTAGTATGAATTAATTTATTTTAAATAATTTATTTGTATGGATTGATTTATTTTAAATAATTTATTAGTATCGATTGATTTATTTTAAATAATTTATTAGTATATATTGGTTTATTTTAAATAATTTATTTGTATGGATTGATTTATTTTAAAATATGGATTGATTTATTATTGTAGTTGTATAGATTGATTTATTTTAAATAACTTATTAGTATGAATTGATTTATTTTAAAATATGGATTGATTTATTTTAAATAATTTATTATTGTAGTTGTATGGATTATTTAAATTTCAGTATTGTAAAACTAAAATTATTTAAATCTCAGTATTGCAAAACTCTTTTAAGTTTAAAAAATCAGTTTATTTATATTTCAGTTCATTTTAGAGTCTGCAAACGTTAAAAAAACAAATAGTCTTCTTCTTGCAGACTGCAGACTTTTGGTCCACCTCTTCTGCTGCAGATGTGGTCCGCAGACTGCAGACCTTTTACCTCTGCAAAAACAAATACAACCTAAGAAATCAACAGGAACGCCCGTTGTGGGATACACTATAGTTTTAGAAAATAAAAGTCCTTTGTTCTAAAGAAGTAATTCTTTTGGTATGGGTATCTTTATTTTTTATTTTATCATATAATTATATTATACGAAGACATATGAAATAGGACACTTTGGAACACATTATCCCTTTAATTAAAATGTATTAAAATTAAGTACAATGTGAAACTAAAAAAAGTTAGGTATTTAATTGTACCATTAAAAAAATTAGATACCTAATTGCAAGAAAAAGGGTACCACATTACACAAAAATGTGAGAGAGGTACTAAAAGTGATTTACCCTATTATATATTTACACTAAAATCATATATTATATACGCTTTACATATGCTTGAAGCAGACAAGGAACCCACCTTCCTCTTAACATTGCACTATCTTGCTCTACGTTTACACACTTATCCTGAGTAACATTTTCTCATTCACACATCAATGGGTCTCTTTGAATTCGAACCATCGTCGGCTCAAAAAGAATTGTTGCACCGTGCTTCTACCATGCCCCTTTGCCAACCGAATCGTCTCCCGATCAAAACTACGTTGTTTTCCCCTACTACCACCACTTGAAGGGAATCCAATGGTGCGATCGACGATGGGTACTATACGCGGTCGCCTTTGTGTTGTTAGCCGCCTTGGCGTTCATATTCTGGCCATCGGATCCCGAAATTAAGATCGCACGGGTGCACGTAAACCATATGCAAGTTCACACTAAGCCCATCGTAACATTAGATATATCTTTGGTGTTGACATTGAAAGTGAGGAATTGGGATGTGTATACCATGGACTTTACCACCTTGGATGTTGCGGTAGGGTACCGAGGGAAGACGCTGGGGCACGTGAAGTCGGAGCACAGTCATGTGAGGGCGATGGGGTCGTCGTACGTCAAGGCGGTGCTTGAACTTAACGGGGTCGAGGTGTTTTCCGATGTCGTATACATGCTTGAAGACTTTGCCAGAGGAACTATCCCCTTTGATACTGTCACGGAATTCGTAGGCTGGCTTGGTTTTTCCTTCTTTAGGTTCCCTTTGAAGGTAAATGAAACATAAATCTCTTCCTTTTTAAATCCCAGGGACTAAAACCATAATTAGACCCTGCAGATGTGACCCGAATCATGTCTAATTTAATCCATGAACAGGCAAAAATATCATGTGAAATTATGATAAATCGAGCAAGTCAGAATATCATCCGTCAAAATTGTTACCCCTCAGGTAAGGCAGTTTAACAATTCTCGATACGAATATGTTTAATATTTTTAATTTTTTTTTGAAATATTTATATCCGACACTCATCTAGACCATGAACCCAAGTGTATGTTTTCAAGGGACTTTCTAAGTGAAATATATTCGAAATTCATAACCGATTCAGAAATGAACTGAAAGATGAGGTACAGTAGAGTGCGGTGCAAGCTGAAGGATGCCGCCAATGTTGCAGAGCTGTAAATACGTATACATTACGTATTTTTATGTTGGTTTATGCTGTCGTTAATCTGTGTAAAATTGATTTTTCATATGATTTTATGAAAATTATTTAATGGAGTAGTAAAATAAAATCTTACTTATACCAGAAGTTACGTTACTTTAATCAAAGGAGAAACCCAATAATTATGTTAAAACCCGAATCCCACATCGGTTGGTGAATGAATGGAGGATGGTTGCGTTTATATAAAAGAGGAGGGAATGGTGATGGAGAGGGCTTCTTCGCTTCTTTGCGCTTGGGGCAATAGCTCAGCTCATGAGTTACTAACCGAGGCGCGTCCACTGCCCGGTTGAAAACTATTACCAAACCCCCTCTTAGGCCTGGGTAATGCCCCTGGCCTTCGGGAATTCCTGGAAGGTCTCCCTTCGAGGTAAAGCCGTATATTCTCTAGTTCATAATTGTTAATATTTTATTCTCGTAGGCCATTTAAAGAATGGTAGAGATGAGGCATTTTCAATATTGAAAAGGAAGATGAGATTAAGATAATGTGGACTTAATGGTAACATGATGAAGAATAGGCCTGAAACGAATATGTATATAATTTGTGTAACGTAGTTTGTCCTTTTATTCGTGTTTATTAAAATAATAAATGAATATAAATTTAAATAATTTAAGTTTATTAGTAGTTTGTTCATTATTAAAATAATAAACAAATACAAATGAATATAAATTTAAAAAAATTTAACTTCAAAAATAATCTTTGAACAAACGAATTTAACTTTTTTTTCAATCTAATGATAATGAATTTAAATGATTTAGCTTTTTATCAATTTAGTGATGTGAAAGGGATAATGAGCTATTGGATAGAAGATATATGTGAACAAATTTAATTGAGCATAAATAGACGGATTATTAAATGGTTAATAAATATAAATTAATGAACAAGTCATGTATTCATATATGTTTATTTAATTGAACGGATAAAATTATGTTTATTTAATAAATAAAAATAAATAAACTTTCTCTGAATAGTTTACAAACGATTTGCTTAACGTTGAGTTTATTATCATCCTAACAAAGAAAGATGCCAATGATGACAAAGAAAATGAAAGTCAAGGGAAGAACGAAATTCAAAGGAAAGTGATATAGAAATATAATTTTAAGAAATTTTAAAATTTGAGAAATAAAACTTCACATCAACTCCGAAAAAAGCTCGAGTGATAAAAAATAGAGCAATTTAAAACTTTGATGAAAAGCATAATTTACCCTTCAGTTATTTGAAAGTTGATCAATATTTTATAGCTCGTTTGTATTTGGAGCATACTCGTTTCTATACGGAAACATATTTGAACAAAAGTCAGTTGGCTTGTTTTCGATTTACACAAAAATGGCTGTGGTCGCCATGTCCCATCCTTCATAATCTCATTAGCACCAACAAATTTTAGTTAGGGGAAGATTGCCTGAAAGTTTCCGAAAGTTTCTTTCCTCTATACGGGAATGTTCAACTTAGCTACGCATCCAAAAGTTACCGATGGTTGGCATGACATTTGCGGTTATATGATTCTTCTCCTTTCTGATACTACTCCAAGATCATTGATCTAGGAAATATAATCCCGAAAGTCTCAAGCTTTCACTACGACCCCTAACCGAGCATCAAATTGGCGAATGGCTTCCCTTGTGTAACTGTTCCGACAAGATAAGTTTAGTTCCTCTGATTGCCAGTCATTTCTTTTGTTTTGAGGTACTGCTCATACAAAGAACGATATCTCGCAGGCACGTAATCCTTGAATCTGTTACAGATGACAACAGAGAGCAAGATCCAGTAAAAAGTAACACCCGTAATAGTTACAATTTAACAAGGGGAATATCAATATCGATAGTCTAGGTATGATTAAGCAATGCCCAACTGACGACGTAATTAATTGCTCGGCTAATGGAAGAACCGTTGTGACAGCCATTTTAGAGTAGATGCATACCTTTCAAGAAGAGGAAGCCTCTCAGGTCCTGAAAATAATCCCACAATACGTTGTAAAAGATTATCAATCTTTATCACTGTGGACTTCATTTCCTTCATGTAACCCACAAACTGTATGTATTCTGCTGGACTAAGTTTCTCTTTCACCTGAAGACCAGAAAAAAAATCCCCTAACCCAAATCAGCCACACAACACCATCAAGAAAGTGAAAATCAACTTGTACTGTGAATTTGAAGAGGAAAGCAGCAAAAGAAACATTAACAGAAATCACTACAGGGAAGATAGTTCGACAAATAAACAACGAATGAAAGCATGTCTTTTCAATTTGATTTCTATAGAGGCTACAAAGATAGGTTTCTGAACTCCTAAAGTCATTCCAGAACTTTATAGACTTTTCTGTTTTTGTAACGTTACAGTCCAGAATTTTCCCCATTGGTTTCACATTACACCTTCCCATTTCCATAAATCAATATGTTCTGGAGTTAGCATGTTGGCTTGTGTCGGTACTAAAAAGGGTCTGGAACTTCTCTTTACATGGTTGATGGATAGAATCAAAACAAATATCAATACAACTAAATATTTCGACTGCTGAATACATATGTAAGAAATTTTGGAAGAAAAAGATGATACATTTTACCTGAATCAGAAAAGCGGAACCTTTTGATTCCTTGGCACCACATTGTTCAGCACTTACGTGAAGATCATTGTTTTTATGCTTGAGAAACTTAGCATCCACAGCAGCAGCTCTAGCATCCTTATGTTGTAAATGATCATTAGCATTCAAAATTTATGTAGCACCAGAATAATTGTTGTGTTTCATTGCACTTACTGTAGGAGGAAGATCTCTCGGCACTGATCTTTGGGCATCTGATGCATTAACAGTGGAACTTTTATCATGCTGCAATTCATTATGCTCTATAAGTAGAGCCTTGCGTTTCTTCATAGAACATGGCACTAGTTGTTTCTGTTTACTTTCTTGTTTCTCCAAAGAAAGATCACCAGTCAAACCAATAATATCATGATTCGGATATTGCATTTTCCCCTTCCCGTTAATTAGCAACCTTTTCTCTTTGGTCATTGGATCACTTGATCGCTTCAACCTTTTCAAATCCATACAAGGAGTGAAACATGAAAGATTCGCAGGAAGAATATCTCTGAGGTGGTTTGAGCTGTTGCTGCTTTTAACTACTAAAAGAGAAGATAGTTTGTCTTTGAAGTGAGGTAGATCCATTGATGTAGACTGCAAAAACTTGTTATTAAGTTGCAACCCATATGAAGGAAAAAGATGAACATAAGTTATTCAAAAGGATGAGTTTAGGCATGAAAAACAATAGATACCGAAGCAGGGAGTTTTCCTGGGTAAGATTTTTCCAGAGGCCGATCTGCTTTTATATCCGCACTTTTTCCTATACAAAGAAATACAACGTAAACAAGTAGCGTTTCTCATCTACCATGCCAAATAGTTGATTAATGATGGATATATAGAGCTCATTTTTCATAATTTAGTACTGGAATGTAAAGTGACTAGAGAAGTCACCAGATTAAATTAATTGAACTGTTGTGAACCGAGCCTGTTAGGAAAGGCCACTAGTTTTGATTCTTTAATTAAGGCTTAGGTTGCTTTTTTTTTCTTTCCTTAGATCTCTTAATTGTGCTTTTGTTTCAATTGATTTATTTCCTCTCTAAAATAGATTTCCTATTTATGTAATAAGATTGGTCCATATTTAAAGGAAAGTATAGAACAATAAAGCCTAACTATCAGAACCCCTAAAGAGATATGAGCCTCTCTAAAGAAGTCCTACGGTTTCAGTCTCTTTCTGATGTGCTGCACTATCAATCAGAGCCCGTGAAACAATCCTGTTTGCCTATTCTTAATATGAATTTATCATTACTTTGTCAGGTCAAAATGAGGGAAAGAAAATCAAAAAGAAAGGGCTAGAGAAAACCGTGTGTTAATATTAAAACATCAAATAGAAGGGTATGCTACCTGATGAAGATTCCTTAATCCCCTCATCAGGAGCTGATGCTGTAGAAGATGGACTTAAATCTGCATGAAAATACGAAACATAGGTGATTTAATGAAGGCAATGTTGGTGACAGCATGATTAAAATGCTAATATAAAACTACAGACTTCATATCTTTATAAGTAAAAGAAAGCTTGGCTTAAAAGCAGCTACATCAATAATTTTGGACATTATAAATGTAGACATAAATCAAATAAACGGGACAACAGTAACATTATTAAAGGACACTTAACCAATGCTTTTGTGGTCTGCTAGTGCTTGTTCTGGCATTGCAGGAACATGGGTTCCTCCATCTCGAAAGAAACGAGTCAGCGTAAAAACAGCATCACCAAATTTGGTGTAACACTGCAAAAGCGAAGAGGAATAAGCAGAATCCTTCAAATAAATGGTCGTTTCATTTCTAGAAGTATACCTTAATATGAGGTTGTATCCAAACTGATATTTGAGATTGACGACTTGATTGAGCAAACCTGTAAAGATCTCAGAAGATAAAGTTGTGGAAAGCTTTCGTATTTAAAACCTATTAGAAAAGGTGCTCCTGTTTTCTAATTCTAATTGCATTTTACTTGTATCTGAACTTTAACTTCTGTAATTCTCAGCCTACAAAAGCAGGCTGTTTTCCTTTCTTTAAAAAAAAAAAAACAATTCGAAGAACTTTGAAGTAAAATGTGAAATCAATGTAGAAATAAGAACATGAATAACAGTTTTAAACCCTCACTAGAGGAGAAAGAAAAACAATACTAGAAATAACAGTTTTAAGTAAAATTGTTCATATGACATTTTCAACTTTAAAGTATTTACTACACATGGAAAATACTTGCACGAAAAATTACAATAAAGGATAACAGAAAACAAATACCTTTCATCACAAAAGATAATCGCTCCATAATCGTGGCGGTGACGGATGACTCGTCCGACTGACTGATTTACAGCTCTTGACGCTTGTTGGTTGTACCACTCGTCTCCAGTTAACAACTTAAGCATCTGATGAAATCAGCCATAACTTGTTTACTTTAACAACTAAAAACATTTATGTTAAGATTAAAAAACATCTAGCAATGTCTCATCAGTCATCACCTTACATCCTTCCCTGGGTGATTGTGCCTGTAGGTCCAAGTACTCACGTTTGAGACGAACCTGTCATATTTTCAGATTTGAAAAGGAACATATATATATACACACACACATGAAGCAATGAAAAGGTCATGGTATGTGTTTGTTGATACATGCATCGGATATAAACGCTCATTTGCAATAGCCAAATTAGTTATATGATGGTCATTCCACGGTAATAGATTTAGAGAAAATTAAAAGAAAAGAAAAGTTCATAACGAGTGAAGAGTGAAACTGCCAATGAAGAAACTGAGTAATAGGATAAGAATATGACCAAACCTTGGGGTCTGTCCTAGTGGCAAATGGCATCCCAGTGATGACCACTGCCCTTCCAGCATGGTCAGCAAAATCTAATCCTTCACTGACCTGAACAAATAGAAAAAAGAAAGACATGGTAGAGTGAACCTGAAAAAATAGAAAAAAGAAAGACATAGTAGACAAGGCTGAACTTCAGAAAGATAATTAGGAACTATTTAGAAACAAAATGACTAGTTCAAATGAGAAGTGTTTGAGAAGCAAAAACACCAAACAAGAGCACACTAATGTAAACTTGCAAGCCATGTGGAGCATCACTTATTATCAAGAAATGTGGCCTAAGTCATTCCTTTCTTTATATTATTACTAACATTGTTCATACAGATCTAGAGAAACTAAATCAGACATTCGTATAAATAAGAAGTTCAGGATCGCAAAGAAAATTACTCCATAGTTTAATCCAAGATTTAGTAACATGTACAAGATGCAAAACTCACATCTTCTAAATATATAGAAAGAATGATCTATTAAGGAATCATAAACCAGGCAGTGCATTATCCAAAAATCAGAGTGCTAGAAACATATTATGGAACTTTTAGAACACATCTTTTTCCATCTTGGGGGTAGCATGTATTTTCCATTGATAAGATTAAAACACTACTACACATGTACTATGTCGGAGAAGTTTGTGATGCTGTATCTCTAAAGCCCTCAAGCAACCTTCCACAATCACAATTTATGATCCAAAAGTCCGAAGGAGATCTCTACTTTTTTGTCACCATATGACAGGATGCATGTATGTCTGGCACAGTGCAAAAACAAAGTTTTGTTTTAAGTTTGGATGAGAGCAACTTACCTTGCCACGACAAACAGCAAAAAATACTGCACCTGAATTGGAGGTGTCCTTTAGTTTAGTCATGTAGTCCTGCCAAGAAAAGAAACTATTTATCCGTGCTACAAAGTCTTTGATTACCACAGAATACTGTAAAAGAAAAATTAAAGTTTTCATTCATCTACTACCTCAATTGCCTGAGGAAAAAGGGATGATTGTCTGGGTTCAATAACGGGTTTCTTAAATTTGCATATTCTTTCCCATATTGTACTTGAATTTGTGTTACCCTGCAAGGAGAAAGAACATAGTGTTTATGAAGCTAAAATTAATGGAGTCACTTCCCCTTCTTCATTAATCTTGTTCAAAGATCTTACAGTGTTCTTCCAACAGCTAATGCACTGGTCCAAAAGGTAGTAAGAAGGGAAGAATACAAGCAGTCCATCAGGTACAATTCGAGAAAAATTGACTGGAAAAAAAGAACTGTTACTATGGCATTATGGCTACTGAGTCAAATATGGAAACTTTTATGCTGTCAATTATCACCATAAACTAATGCATAGGTCAGACCGCTCAATTTTAGCACAATGCCTCAAGTCCATGATGGTTTACTTGAGGGCTTCTTTTTTTCATTTTTTTATAAGAAAGAGATGTCTCATTAAAACCCCCTTCATATCCATCGAAATACAAAGAAAGTATCTCAATGAACATTGGAAGGAGGAAAAGAGTACCTCATATAATTTATTATTAGAGCCAACATACACCAGAAAGTAAAAAGAAGAGCCCAGCTAGGAGCAACACCTAATCTAAACAATACCCCCTAGAAACAAACCAACCTATCCAGCCAGACAAGAGACAAGCCAAATTAGCCAACGCCTGATTTTGCTAACTTATCCGCCTCCCAATTAACACTTCTCTGAATGTGCCTAATAATTACATTACGATCCAACACACAATGGACAATTTCCTTTACCAACCGATCAAACGAAGCGGGGCAAGAGCCAGGATTCTTAATCCAATTCAGAGCATTAACACAGTCACTTTCCAAAATCAACTGTCCCTTTGTACCCCACTCTGACTCCACAAACAGAGACAAACCAGCCTGAAGGCCTTCAGTTCTGCCAGGACAGGAGGGCTGGGACCTACATGTGAGGAAAGGAACCCAGCAGCTTGCTCTCCGCATCTCTAAGAATACCACCAATGCCACTATTTTTCCAATCCCTATTGACAGCACCATCCACATTAACTTTTTTAAAAAAACAGGGGGGGGGGCGGTGGACTCCAGGAGACCGAGGCAGGGACGGATTGCTTAAGACATTTGCAGGAATCAGCCAAAGCAGGGTCCCCAATAAGGCAGTTGAAATGAATAGGGAAATTGGGGAACTTTTCCTTTCTTTAAAAGTTATTGTTTCTATGAATAAGCTTAGAAATCCCTCTTAGATCAGAGCATTAACCGTTGACATTGCCTCATGTAAACAATGTGCTCTTTCTTTTACAAAATCTGAATCTTTTGAACATATATACTCAGCCACCAGGGTAGAGTCATAGCACATTTTTATCTGTAGTCGAATGATCTCCCACTGAAAGTTGCTATGGACCTATTGGCGATTAACATGACTTTCTCACATCTGTTATTCAAAACAATTATACTTCCAATGAATTATCTAGTGCAATAACATGAAGTTGAGAAGAGAATCAACGGCCTTTCTACCATCAATAAGTGATTATATTTCTTATTGGATTGAAAAGCTGAGAAGAGAATCTAGAGATCATTGACCAACACTATTTGTTCTACCATTGGCACACCAGACTATTACCAATGAAAAGGTTCACATACCAATAGCATTCCCGAGTTCTTGTTTGTATTCTGGAGAATCACGATTCCTGAAAGATGAATTGAAGGGACGACCTGAAGGACCAAGTGAGACAACTCCAGCCCATATCTGATTTGAGGATATTACATGAGGATTTTCCAGCTGAACAGGAAAATCTCTGAGATAGCGTGCAGAAGGTTTCTCTTTAGTAACTAATATTCAAGAAAGCCAAAGCATAATAGATGTAGAAATAATGAATTTGGGAAGCTTACAATTTCAATTCTTGTGCAAATGAATCCAAGGGAGATAATGTACCCGATGTCACTAAAATAGATCCAACGCCCATTTCGGTGAATGTTTGCATGGCAATGCCTGGATTGAAGCACCACCAGCCGAGTGTCCGTGATGACTTACCTGCCAAAATTCAAAAAGATGAAAATATAATTCACTTTTATGACAAAGCATATCGAAAGAACACGACAGAATGCTGGTTTCCAGCACCAGAACCTTACAGCTCCTTAATCTGTTATTATTAACTAATGAAGCTATATGAAAAGCATAAATTATTTTCGAAAGGTATAATAAATTCAGAGGAAAAAAATATAGACATAAAACTTTACCATCAAGAGAGCATGTGCACCTATAGCGCACCTTGGAATACACAAAAATCTTGCTATATTTGTCTGCCATCTTCGTATACAGGAGGTTGGAAGATTCAAATTTTGTAACTAAATGCTTTCACTATTCTACATGAGTACAAGCAAGGTTTTGGTTTTGAACAAGATGCAAGGAAATACTAACAACCTTGTTACTTTAAAAAATGACTCCAAAACACTGGTAACTCCGACAATTTCCAACTAACTTTACATGAATACACCAAGAAAAACTAGTTCCTTTTCAATACTTCTCATTGTTCATTTTTTGCTGAATCCATAGTGTGTCCCAGACTCCCGGCTAAAGCTTCATTTAGAATAGAGAAAAAAAAAAGAATAACTTATGAATCTTCTTCGAGAACCAGGAGATTCCTAGAAAAGATGGTGTTCATATGCCCATTTTAATTATTAAATCTGACAACCAGAAGAATCATGATCGCTTAACAGTGTAAACCTGATTTAAATAAAGTAACTTGAATCAAGCATGGCAAACACACATGAAGAAATTAAAGAACAAATAAAAAAATCTAACCATTTGGTCTCTTAGTTACCTTTGAAGATATCTGAAGCATTCACCTCAGCCTCTTGAACATGAACCTGAAATAACATATTAAAGTTAAAATATGAGATGCTAGCTTAGGGAAGAATAATACCGATATATTCCCCTGTTAAAAAAGGTAACGAGAACAACATCCTCAAAGCTCTGAGTTCCCAGCTTACACGATAACTATCAGCATGACTATTGCCCTTGTCTCTGAATATACTTTTAAGAATGTTGCCAATGCTTTCCAGCCTACTTCCAGTTCCCTTTGCATCATGCTTTTTATTTTCCTCAAGCAGCAGAATAGCATCATCAATAATATCAATAAGCGTAGAAGCAGTTTCATGCGTGATATTGAGATCAGCAAGTAGTTCATAAATGTAATGCCCATTCTTAGTAAATCCAAGTTCCTTGGATTCGATGGGGATTTCAGCAATTCGCTTCTGAAGTTTCAAAAGAAGAGCTGAAAATATGCAGAGTATAATAAATATATTGGTAAGGATATGATACACACACATATATAGAGAGAGAGATGCATGCATATATATACAACAGAATTAAAAACAAAATTAAGCTGAAGCTGCCAGCAAAGTGACTGAAAGATTTTCTAGAAGTACAATATCCTCAGCTTAAAGAACCAAAGCTAATTTAATGCAGAACAAATACAAACTCATAAGAACAAATGTTCCATTTGAAAATGGTTAAATGTTATATATAGTTGCATGCAAAAGCATTTCTAAGAACAGCAACATAGATGCACTATCAATGTACCAATTGACTTGCCTCTAAGGATTGCAAAGTTATCAGGATTCCTTGATTTATCATTTGATTCTTCTTGCCTCCCGACAGCCAGATCAGCACAATTTTTCGCTTCAGAAATACATGCCGTCAAAAGCCCAGAAGACAAGTCAAAAGAGGCTGCATCAGCACAGATGCTCTCCTGCATTATATTCCCATAAATCAATAGCTAAGCTCAATCTAACAGAAGGCAGAAAGTTAACCATTGGATCAGTTGGCCTATGTCATTCTTAGAATGACTAAATTCCAATGGTTAAGTGACCAAAAAATACGGATTAACAGCAGCAAATATGTTCTATCTAAAATTTACACAGAAGTTCCAGTTACAAATTTCAATTTTCCCCTTACAAGGTTGTGAGCTTCATCAAAAATCAGTATGCTGTTGTGCCACTCGAGGCTAAGAGATTTTCTATAATCATGATCTATAAGATAGTTGTAAGGTGCAAATAAAATATCAACAGCCTTGTGGAGTTCTCGTGATACATAATAAGGGCACCTACAAGAAGAAAAATATTGTATAAATTAGCAAGAAAACATGATCAGGAATATTAAAGTTAGTAGCGAGGGCTTTAGTAAGAGACATGAAATAAATAAAACAACCACCACCGCCACCATATAAAGTATTGAAAGGGAATACTACTACAGAAACCTACGGCCCATATTTTCTTCCAATATTCACCAAATCCTCTATATCAATAGGTTCATCTCCAATATGAGAGTTGTTCTTCATATAATCTACAGTAAACAAGCAACATTAGTGAACAGCAGATGCACCCCAACCATTTCAAAATAGAACTTTCAAAAAATAAATTAGAGAGATGGTTGGTCAATTCACTGGAAACAAGTGAATAGTATAGTCCAGAAGAAAATAGAACAGAACTCAACTCCTCCCTACTGATCATATTAGGCAAGTATCACCATCATCAAGTAATACTTCAAAGAAGGAAATCAAGCAAACTGTTTCTGCATTACCATGATGAATATAGGAATGTCTTATTTTCTTCTTATGGATTGGATAACAAACCAATGTGATAAAAAAACTTTAATACTAATTCCTAATAATCATCACACAATCTAAAGCCAGCATCAAAGTTTACCTCACCCCCTTTTACAGTCAGTTTATATAAGATAAAAGTTTAAATTAAATGAACTATTGAATAAATGCTGTATTCAAGGCATTGACAGTGCATGCCAAATGAAATCTATGCAGAAAAGTGAATAAGTACCAGCAACACGTGGAAAATGAGTGCAACGGCGCTTCCGGTCCTTTCTGCAAAGGGAACGACAGGCATTTGTCTGAGCTTTTCCTCTAAGTAAACTTACTTCTTCATGTATGCACAACTGCTCCCGAGATCCCAAAACTACCATCTTGGGCCTGTATATCCTCCAACATTCAAAAAGTCAAAACCCAAAGCGAAAATATTGAGCTTCTGAAAGTATCAACAAAAAAAAGTCCACTGGCACCTTGAAGGTGCTTAAGAACGTATTGTAACAACAATGATTAACATCAAGAGAAGTTCCCTTAGATATGATATATGACAATAAAAGGTTGGAAATCTGCAGTATCTTCACCTTTCTCTTTCCTTTGATAAAAGGCAAACGAATTTAACACCATAATCAAAGAAACGGAAATTCATGTGTTGTTATACCCTCAATTTTTTTCTTTTTAAAGACTCTAGCATGCAATATTTTGTATAAATACTGATCAGAAAAAACAACCAGCTAGGCAAGGAGTAAAATGCAGATAAATCCAATAATAATTCAAGTTGAAACCTAGAGTGAAAAGTGTGAAAGAAGTAGTTATCAACTCAAAAATATTCTCCTCTGCTCTGGATTGAATAAGACAAAATCAGACATATTTGATAAGCCAGCCAACATACGTTGGTCTACCACCAAATATGGGTAATGGCAAGACTGGGCTAGATTAGCTTAGGTGCAGATGTGAGACATAAGCATGAGCCAACAGATGCACTTTTAGTTTTTCCTTAAATTTGGAGGTAGTCATTTCAACTTTGAGGTATCAGATGTGAAACCAACTCCAACATTAGTAATGAAAAAGACATATTAGCATATTAATAATCTCCACTACAGCACGACCTGAATAACTCAACCACAATAATAAGCTAGTGGTGGAAACCTAAATAATATGTCATGAAAAATCAACTATGACCTGTAGTTGCTTCTTCTCAACTCTTGAACAACTTGCCGAAGTTGGCTATGAGTTCGCGAGGTATAAACAATGGTTGGAAGGTTACTGGCCTCAGATTGTGAAAATCCTACACCAGATTGGCTCCCGAAGAAATCACTCTTTATTTTAGTACTACCAGTTGAAAAACTACCCAAACTTTTCCTCCAAGCCAATGTGGCACATAGAAGACATAGTGTTTTCCCAGTTCCAGTTGGACTCTCCAAAAGTGCATTACATTTCTGGGACATAAAACAACAAGTAGAATACATCACTTGAATTAACAAAATTCGTACTATTACTATCCATCACTTAGTAATTTGGAAAATTTAACTCAGAACAATAACCAATTATTTAAAAAAGAATCAAAATTTCATTACTATATTTTAACAGATATATTTAAAAAATTAATTTCAATAAACTAAAACAGTGGTTTTTATACATTTTTTTAGAAAAAGTGTTGAAGAACATCATACAAGTGATCACTGTTCCTTAAATTCAATTCACTAGTGAGAGTAACAAATAAAATTCTTTGCCACTAAACAGAAAAAGGAAATAAAAAATATAAGTGAAAGAGATACCCTTTGGAGAGCTTCAATAACTTTCTCCATGTAAACAAGTTGGCAATCGTACGCCTCGAACGGAAAATCAACATCGATTCCACGTAATCTGTATGTAGGCATTTTCCTTTTCTTTTTCTGTTTGGATTACGAGAAAGTTGATAAAAGATGCCTTTGTTATATAGTTTGAATTGAGTCACAGAAACGTTGTATATAAACCCTAGCGGGCGAACGAATGTGAGTTAGATTTTCCCGCCATTACGCTTTCGATTAGTACAGAACTACAGGGGTAATTTCCAAAGAAGCTGCCGTATAGGTCAAATTCTCTACTAGGTCCCCAAACTATTTTTTTTTGGATAAATGCATTCCTTTATTTATTCAGAGAAAGCCGCCACTGAAATATTTGGCATTCCTCTCATCGTATAAACCACCGAATTCCAAGTAAGCTTCAGCACACCGTGAGAAGAGACCTTCCCTTAAGCCTACTTGCAGCCTAATTCAACTTCGAATTCCAACTCGCAATTCCCCGATGCAAATTACAGGCCCTCAACACCTTCGACCAAACATTCTTCAAGGACATCTTAAGAATACATGGTCTCAGGCCTCTTCAAAAGATGTACAGGACATGTATCACTGAAACAATATCGGACATACGGGTGATTCGATCCGAAATGTCACATTAGGACCACCGGAATGATCCACAATAAAAATATATGAAAATAAAATTTTACCAAACACAATTTAAAATGAGAAACAATTTATAAAAAAAATATAAGTTCATAAAATCATACATATATTAGAAATAGAATTCAATCATACATAGTATCAAATAAGTTTCAGACTCGGTATAAAAAAAATATGACCCCATGCTCCCTAACTATACTAGTATAATACTCTGCAAACAATGTCGAAGGAACTTCCACGCTGATGTCAATAATGCACATGATCAATTCCTTTAACCTAAAATGATGAGTAACAGAGTGAGTTTTGGGAAGCTCAGTAATATAATATTATTAAAAAGTGCTAAAGGCCAAGCAGATATATGATACAACATGAAAAATTCCATAGTTATTTAGGCATATACAAGTCCTTGTGATGAGTTAATATTCCACTAATTAAATCTTCAAGTAATAGTTAGGAAGCTTACGTAACATCCTCCATGCCGGTTAGTGATTAAATTGTGAGATTTAAAAATTCAGTGACCAAATTGGATAAATTGAAAAGTTCAAAGAATTAATTGAAATGTTTTGTGTATGATCAATTAACAAATAAGAAGGAACTAAAAGGGTAAATGAGTCTTTTATAAGGGGAAATAATTAAATATTAGTTGAGGATATTTTATACCCACGTGGAAGCTATTGGAGAGAACCAAAGTTTCCAGATTTCTCTTCTTCTTCATTCTTCTTCTCTATTGTGAAGCTAAGCTAAAGGTGAGTTTTCTTGTTGATCAAATTTGTGATGAATTTAAGGTTTCTTATTGATCATTAGATGATATCTAAGCTTAAGGAAAGCTTAGATTATCTTAAAACCATAAGATGAGGAGTACATGAAGAATTAAAGAAAGGAAGTAGAAAAGTGAAATCTTGAATTAGAGTTCATAATAAGAATTAGAAGTGGGATTTGATTTGTCATCAAGCTAATTAACGAATAGGAAGTGTTATAATTAAAATTTGAACATGTTGGAATTTGGGTTAGATCCTTAAATTCTATATGGAGGATTGAGTTTTTAAGTTTTAGAGGTGTTGAATGGATAATAATTAGTTTAAAAAAGTGTATGCAAGTTAGGGATATAAAAGGAGGTGAATTATGCAGTGTTGTGAGGATTATAAAGAGATTTTCGTGCTCAAAATGGCAATTCTAAGTAGAGTGCATCGATGCATCCTCAATTAATTGAACATCGAATGTCGTTAGTGCATCGATGCATAAGGAGTGCATCGATGCATTTTCAATTAAATGAACATCGAATGCCCTCAGTGCATCGATGCATAAGGAGTGCATCGGTGTACCTCCTTAAGAAGAAAACATCGAATGTAATTTGTGTACCGATGCACAGTTAGTGCATCGATGCACACACTGTAGAGTGCATCGATATACTGTAGAGTGCATCGATGCATACCTTTATTTAGAGATGAAAATGGCTTTTATTTTAGCCTAAGAAATGATAGTTTAGAATATACTAATTAGCATACTGATAAGTATCAATGAATTACTATGTAGATATCGAGCTTAAACGAGTTCTGGAACAATCGACAAGTAGGATCGATCAAGGGAAAGACAAAGAGATCTAGGTGAGTGCATATGCATAGCATGAATATAGTATTATAATCAGTTCTAGACTTGTGATAAGTCTAGATTTAATATTTTGATACACGATTACATTCCATATTATGAAACATGATATGAGTTTATACCATATGCATTATGTGACATGAACATGCAGGAAAAGTTATATGAGTTATGTGATAAAGGTATGGAAATGATATGTCTATGTGATAAAGGTATGAAAATAATATGTCTACGTGATACAAATTATGTGAACTGTAAAGCCCATGTTATGTAGATGAGAACTATAGGTATAGTTGGCATGCCAAAGGTAGAGGGTCTACGCGATCCTTCGGGATATATATATATTCTTTGGAACATGTGTGAAGTCTTGTGAGACACATACTTGATCCTAGTATATGTATATGATTCTTAAGGAATTCTATGTGGTCATTATGGACATTATTATATGGCACTACGGTGCAATTCTACGCGGCACTCCGGTGCAATTTTACATGGCACTTCGGTGCAATTATACGAGCTGTGGTGACAGCATAGTGCACAACCTCACAATACTCACATACCTTAGGTTCTCAGTATGATATCATGGGCTAGTGAACTTAATAATGTGAACTTATGAATGTGAATTTGATAAATCTATGTGTAAGAAACATGGTTATGGTTATTGCATCGTTTACATACATATTATCATTGCAATCCATCTCATTTTGGCATTTTCGTTATATTTTATTGTTATTATTATATGGCCTCACTAAGTCGATGACTTAGCGTGTGAGTGTTTCACACATAGGATCCGATAAAGTAGACGATCGAGGTTAAGCAGCTGGACAACATTACTCCTACAACTATCATATCAGAAGCAACTTAATAGTATGTCATTTTGTTATGTAAATCAATGTTGACATGTAATAGAATGTTAAGTTGTGTATGCTTGAGTATTTTGTAAACCTTGTATAAACCTATATATATATTATCGTATTTTCTTAATATAAGTTCAAATGTTTGTTATTTTGTAAGAAATGTGTTTTAAAAAGGTAATGTGACACCTCAGACTCGTATCCGGGTCAGGTACGGGTTGGGGGCATTACATTTAATGGTATCAGAGCTATGGTTTAGCCGATTCTAGGCATAAACCAGAGTTTTTAGAGTCTTTAAATGGAATACATGCCAACAAATAGTGAGAACTTCTGATCTGGTATAGTATGAGTATGTTGTTTTACTAATAGAACAATGTGTTTATTCTTATTAGATGTCCGGACATAATAGCTCCCGAAGTGAAGTGGGAGAAGATAGGCTTACTGAAAGTAGTAATTCACCTGCCCTGGCCAGGCAAGGTAAAGAACATGCATCTCAAGGAGTGCCTGTGAAAGATCAGGATACGTTCTTCAGAACGTTAGACTCTATTCTGACGCGTCTTCAACCTCCTGCTCCACCAACTCAAAGAATGAATGTAGCAAAAGAGTTGAGAGGTTTAGGAGCTCCCGAATTTAAGGGAGAAGCCGAGGAAGGTTCAGTTGCGGCAGATCTTTGGTTAAATGATTTTAAAATCATGTTGGATGGTCTCCACTGCTCTGAAGTGGAGAGTTAGATGGGGTTGTCTCATTACTGAGGGGTCAGGTGAGGATATAGTGGACGACCGACACCATGAGGATGTCCAGTGACCAGTGGACTTGGACTTTGTTCTTAGATGAATTTAAAAACAAGTACATCAGAGATCAATTTATTCGGCAGATGAAACGGAGTTTATGAACTTGAAACAGATAAACCGCTCTGTATATGAGTATGAATGCGAGTTCAACAAGCTGAGTCGGTTTGCATCTGAGTTTGTGCCTACTGAAAAAAGAAGCGTGTGAATGGTTTGTGGAGGGCTTACATCCTAGATTGAAAAAGATGCTGATAGTATTGAATTTGTCCTCGTTCCAAGAGGTGATCAATCGTGCAAAGGCTCTTAAAGGGCTCAGAATGAAAGATTTGGGGACTCAAGAGTTCATACATCAAAGAGGACAGGTGCTTCTTCTAGCTCAGCACCACCAAAAAGAGGAAGAGACTCAGGATTTCGATCACAAGTTCATAATCAGTTGCATCATCTGCTACGGGAGCAACTCAGGCAAGGCCTAGATAGACATAGTCAGTTGGATATGGTGCTGGGAGATCCAACCAAGGTCAAGCAAGACAATTTCAACATTGTGGAAAGAACCATTTTGGGTCATGTCAGATGCTTTTGGAACTTGTTTTCGATGCGGAGATACCAGACATTTTATCCGAGATTGTCCGTTAATGATGAGAGAGTCTGCACCATCTGAGAAAGCTGGCTCTGCCTCACAGAGAGGTCGGGGAAGAGGTAGATGAAGGAACCAGTCTAAATCCTCTGCTCAACATGAAGTTCAGTCAACCGCACGGGTGTACAATTTAAAGACAAGTGAAGATCGTGATGACCCTGATATTATAGCAGATACTTTTCAGCTGTATGATAAATTGGTATTGGTACTGATTGATCCAGGTTCTAATTATTCTTACAATACAAGTAAGTTAATAAAGGAATTGAGGATTCCTTTAAAGCTACGAGTAATGAGATTATAGTAACTAATCCTTTAGGCCATAGTGCTCGGGTGAACAAAGTCTGTAAGGGGTGTCCCATAAAGATTCAGGGAATTAAATTCCCTGCTAATCTGATGGAATTACCCTTTGACGAGTTTGAAGTGATTCTGGGAATGGATTGGTTGTTTCGTTACTATGAGGATATTAATTGAAGATTGAAAAATGTAACCCTGAAGAGTCCAGGAGGAACAAAAATAAGTGTGATCAGTGAAAGGTTTAATCATTTAGCAAATGTAATATCATTAATCTCTTCTAAGAAGCTACTGCTACAAGGATGTCAAGGTTTTCTTTCAAATGTGATAGATACAAGAACTAAAGAGAAATGATTAGATGAGATTTCCATAGTTCGGGAATTCCCTGATGTTT